CAAAAAACAAGAATTTCAGAAAAGCCAGGACTTCATCACAAAAAATGAACTTTACATTTCTGTGTGCATATGTTTGTGTTATTTAACATATATTATTATACGNAACAGGTAGAGTAACAAATCATTTTATACTGTAATGTGTTATTGTTTTGAACTTTCTTTTATAAATTACCATGTAAGAAAAAATGGCATATTTCACTTACACTTCTACTCAGATAATGCTGAACTTTAGTTAATTGGGCTCTGTTGTACTTGCTTGATTATATTTAAAATGACTTTTGTTTAAAATTTTAAAATATTTAAGCCAAACGATTTGAAGTTAAATATTATTAATAAATCATAATTAACATTAATAAGAGACATTATATCTTATTACTAACAAGGAAAAGCCACAAGTTTCAATATGCCGTTTTTAATAAAATGCTAAAATTAACTTGGTGCCCTTTACAGGCAGATAAAGTCATTTGTATGAATAGGTAATGCAAAAAGAGAAAACACGAAAAGAAATATACATGTAGTAAGTAATTTGACTGACAATCTGGACAATTGTTTGTGACCTGGTCAGTAACACCTGTAGATTCTGGCTCTCTGACTTGCATTTTAACCTCTTGGTTTTCTAATCAAATTTAATCAAATAAAGTACTTTTTGTTTTACAATAGTTTATAAATTTAATATTTTGTCTTTATTTAAAATTAAACATGCAATTTTTCTTTTATCTTTTGCTCTTGTTCTGTGTTTCTATGGTTTCAAACTCTTGCTAATCAGAGTCTGACTTGTGAATTATCAAAGGTATGTGTAAAAATGTAATTATTATTGTTTAATAATCTTAATTGTATTTTCACATGTAAAGTTGAAACATAGAACAACAAAAGATAAAAAATAATAGCACATTAGATTTTAACTAAAGACAAAATATTGAAGTTTTTAATATCCTATAGTCACTACTGACTGAGCTGCCACAGTTGGCATTAAGATTTTCAGGCAAATTACTTATTCACTAAGTATGTGTTTCTTTTCAAGTTTTTTCTTTGTGCATTGCCTATTCATGGCTTTACCAGCTTTTTAATAAATAGCATTTTATTTAAAAATGTGCATAGCAACCTGTGACCTTCACTTGTGAAAAAAGACTTAATGTTTGTGTACTTTTTATAAAAAGGATCTATGATTCTTTTATAGATCTACAATGTATTAAGGTACCCAGACACTTGACTGATAAACATTTTGCCGAGTGGATTTCTGAACGAATTCACTTTTGGTGTTTTATTATTTGTAATTCTTTTTTCAAAATTGTTTTGTTGTAACTACTTTATAAAGTAAAGTATAAAGATAAGGATAATATCATTGTTTGATTTTAAACAGTTTATTATACATATTAAAATTAATGTACAATGTTTGCTTTGCAGAAAATACTATAAAAATTTTTTAAAACATTCAATATAAAGATTTTGGGCAATTGCTTTCAAAAATGAATTTTGGGATACACCTCACATTTTTCAATGATAGACATCAGCCTTTTATTTAATATCTGGTACTACTTTGATTTTCTCAATTCAACTCCTGACATTACCATCTTGATTGTCAACTCCCAATCTGACTGTTCTTTTCATAGTTTTGAAACTAGATGGCAAACAGAAGGATGGGTGATTCTCATTCTCTGTGCAAACCCTTTGTGTCATCCTTCTAAAGAGGTAGTAGTCCATGGAAAACCTTGTGTTGTTCTTTCTAATGTGTTCCAAATACTTGGCTCGAATACTTGGCTCTTGGCCTTCGTCATCTTCCACAATGTATAAAACCAATCCATGTTGCTTCAGAGTAGCCTAGAAACTCTGATAGAAATTTGTCAGTTTCCTCATCTAATGTTGAGACTAATTCCTTGAAGGTTTCAGCAACATACTTATTGGCACAAATGTTAATGCTTGAAAAGATTTGATGATGATTGTATTAATTGAATCATTATATCAAGTCTGTAGACCTAAGTACTGTATTTCTCTCCAAGCACTGCCCCAAATGGAAAAAACAAGCCAAAAAATGTTTGCATTTTGGAAACATGATGTAATGCTGTTAAGAGTCACTCTTTCGTAGTCAATGGTGACTGAGATAGGATTAAAATCTAATCTGCTTGAAGGTGCTGAAAATCAAGTCATAAGTCATTTTTTATTTGTTTTACATTTGTTGCTGTAATTAATTTCATTGACTGGTCATAACTATTTTTGCTACAAAAATAGTTATGACCAGTCAATGAAATGTCCATTTGATTAAATATGTCTTGTTCAAATGCTTGTTCGGAAAATTGTTTATTGGCCAAATGTCTGTCTGGTGAATTGTCTGTCTGCCAAATGTCTGTCGGTCAACTGTCTAGACACGTGTATTAAATGTCTGTAAATTAGGGTTTGAATGACATCACTTCAGTAGGATAGTAACAATGAAATCACTACCGTACAAGATATAAGCCTGTCTTTAGTATAGATTTCTTTGGATAAATAAATTGTAATTAACCAGTCAGTCAGAGTTGAAATAACTTGCTGCTAAACAATTGTTTAATATAAAATATCTGGGTATGGTACAGTAAAACTTTCATTATCCATTAGTCTTTGTTAGTGTAGCCAGACATCTTTTATTTTAAAGGCCAATTCTTTATTTTAGCCAAATTGCCCTTGTTTTTTATTGAACTTAAAAAGAATGCAATTTGTTCTTTAATTTTGTAATGTCTATGTTTCATAATGGTAGTGGTGGATTTTCACACAAGCCTATTCTTTATACAGGGTGGGCCAACGAAAATGAAACAGCAGAGTTATCGTGTTCTTCCAAGCAAATCGCTCGGACAGGTAGATTTTATTCTGAAGGGGGACATTTTCTGCAATAAAGTTTTTGCGCTTCTGAATACAACAGACGACAAAAAATTTTAAAAACTCATTCATTTTTTTTATTAACTAAACAAACATTTATTTCAGAAGAAAAGTAACACAAACTGTTAACAAACATAAAAAAACCTTTTAAGCTGGACCACATATGCAAGTAAAAAATGGATCATAAAATTATGGCTGATAATGATAACATTATCTGTTTCCAGATGTTCTTTTTTGTAGTGTTCACATTAAGCTTGACCACTTAATCATTCAATCGGAATTTAAGATTATTATTTGTTTATTATGAATTTTCTACAACATAATCGTTATGGCTTACACAATTGCTGAAAGGATAGTAATAGTAACTCTTCATTTCAGAAATTGTGAGAATGCTTATCTTACTACAAATTTATTTAGTCAACACTATCCAAGCAAATATTGTAATGCAAAATACGTTCTGGATTTGGTTCAAAAGTTTCAGTTAACAAAAGACGCGACCCCAGACGTGAACGGCCAGTAAGAAATGAATCAACAGAGATGTGGTGCTGCTCAATTCAAACATTTATTGAATACTTGAAAACTTTTTCTTATGTTTTTCTTATGTTAACTTTATTTGAAATAAATGTTTGTTTAGTTAATAAAAAATGAATGAGTTTTTAAATTCTTTGTTGTCTGTTGTATTCAGAATCGCAAAAACTTACTGCTGAAGATGTCCCCCTTGAGAATAAAATTGACCTGTCCGAGTGATTTGCTTGGACGAACACGATTACTCTGCAGTTTCGTTTTCGTTGGCCCACCCTGTATATCAATCTATATTTTCCCATAGAAAACTATGGTTTAACATTAAATAGTTTAAATTCTAAATTAAACAAACATTTGTAAATGTGTAGTCAATATAAAACCATAATTTTTAAATCTAAATAACTAAACATTGTTATATTTTTAACTAAAAATGTCTGTCTAATTTAAAAAAAGTCATTCAACTTTATTTTTTTGGAGCAGAATAAAAGTTGAATAATAGCATTAATCATTTTGAAGTGTTGTTTAATCCATTTGTAGAAATTTTGCAACACCAGTCTGTTAATCGTGTGACTGGAGAGTGTCAACCAAGTGTCTGAAGTTGTGAAATATTACTAGCAGTATATATTCCTCATTATTTTACTTTTAGTTTATAACTAGTTTTCCATTAATTTTAAGCAAAGGAAAACAGCTTAGTTTCAAAAATAGCTAAGTAAAATAAACAAACACCTTTCTCTATTCCAGCACAACGTTACGATTTTTAATATGTTAAAAATGTTTTTGAAACTGTTTTAAGCGATCTTCTTCAGTTCAAATTCAAACCATATAACAAACAAAGTATTCAAAATAATACAAAAATTCAAAGCGCTTATTCACGACTTAACGTTAAAGCGCATGCCCGTACTCATAAAATGAATAGATTAAACCAAAATAATTAAAAATAAACTAAAAATTATATATCAGGAAATATAAAAACAATTAAAAACGCCACCTACACGGTTACAACAGTTAATCTATATTATCATAAAAGGACTTCCAGGCTGTTGATAAACCTTCAGCATCCCTGTGATTGATGCACTGCACGGTCATATGCATCTTGTGTATCTCAAATTTTTCCAGGTGTTTCACCTCTTGCATTGATCTTGTAGGTCTAATAATTGCTGCCTGATCCCAGTATACTGCAATTCCTTGCTGCTTCGCAAATGCTGCGAGGAGTGTGCTATCAACGCTTCTATTCACNGACTGGATTATTAATTAACTTCAAAAATTTATCACATTATTTTATAATATATGGAAACTTGCTGTATGTTTACTGTACATAATTATGGTTTCAGTGTTAATTGACATTGGTTCTAACGATCAATTTCAACTTGAGATGTTTTTAACAATTTTATTAATGAATTCATTTTGCTATTCTGTAATAGAAAGTTTTCAGTATATATTTCAGTTACGGATAAATAACAAAACAATGGGATATTTAAATAAATATTGATGTATAAATACATCATATAAAGATAAATAAGAAAAGGCAAGCTATTCAAAAGTATGGTGTAGGTATATGTTTATATATAGACATGAAGCTTGAAATTGTTTTTACGAAATTTTCAGACTGATAGTAAATATTTGTCTTTCAGATATGTAGCAAAATGGCTATTCGTTCAAGAAGAGCATCTGCGCGAAATCTATGAAGAAGAAGAAGCCACGCAGAAATTTGCTACTTTAGTCACTAGTGTTTTATCTCACATAAGGTTCCCCATGATGACGCCTAGACAGAGAGCAAGTCTATCGAATCATTCTCTCGCCTGCCGTTTCAGGGACTTCTTTTTGGGTGCCATGATGTTCGCTATGAACATCAACGAACGGCATACCGCTCCCAATTTAGATCTTTTCGTACCGCGATTGTACACGTGCCCGACTTGGTGCACGCAATTTGTGGTGGAAAATTACCCTATCTTAACGGCCTACAGTTACAGGACATTAACATTTAGCACACCTTCGAGCATCGCGGAATGGGACAATTGTCATCAGACGAAAATCAATTGGACGATGGATATATATCCGAAAGGCGTGTGGTTTCGTAAATTTTATCTCCTCCTGTGGAGAGGAAGATCGGAAATGCCCGAATACGTCATCAAATCGGTAAGAGTGTCGGTATCTCCCGACATTTCCGACGAAACCATTAGAGCCACGGTGGGTGTCCTGGTATGCGGGAAGGAAGACAGCACGGAGCACATCCAGAGAGTAATCTCCAAAGAGTTTCTGTTCACCAACGAAGATCGAGTGTTAAATCTAGAAGACGTCATTCCGTACGAAGAACTGAATTGTTTCCGATCATCTTACCTAGTGGGCGAAAAATCTGACACGTTGAGGATCATGGTGGTGGTTCTTCCCACGTTGTCCACTTGCCACGACACCGGACAGAAGTCAAATATTCCGTCCAAATATATCTGTGATACGGTGGTCTGACGACCATTGCGCTAGATTCTACTTTAATGTTTCGTTCGAGTCCGAGTCGGAAAATTTCAAATTACGCACGAAGCGGGTTAGCGGATAAATTCTGGACGACGAGTATTCTGGTAACACTGCCTGCTTAATTTGCATTTACAAACCTCGAACCTTCTGTAAATTTAAGATTGTAAAATTCTACGACTTGATATATGTTTATTGTATTTGTAAACATTTTAAAATATTTGTATAAAAGCTGTACAGAATCGGAAAATAAAATAATATATATGTATATAAATTATAAATGTAAGTGACTTTGTTTATATACAGCTTATAATTTCTTTTTCAATTTGAGAACCGATCTTAGATTTTCTTTGTTACGTTAAATTAATTATATTTATTATAAAACTGAAAATTCTGCGTACAGAGTAAGCATTTATTTATTTAAAATAGCTAAGTCAATCTTTAAAAAAAATTAAGTAAGTACTTGATGATATGTATTTTTCTGCTCCTTTCAATGATGATTGTTATAAATTTCTGAACTAGCCACAAAATGAAGGAGGAATAAAAAGGGTGGTAAAATTTGGAGGCTAGTTTCAAAATCAGCCACTTTCACAGCCCTTACATTCCGGATCCAGACAAAGCAGAGCTGGCTGTTTTTGAAATGAAAATGAAAAGGAAGTAGGTAGTGAATACAAAACCACAATTAGCTTCAGTGGAACTGAAATTATTGCTGTCATAGATAATTAAATGATTCAAAATGCAGGAAGTAACAGAGGCAACATAAGTAAAGTTTGTAATGTTGTTTCTATAAAGGTTAATGCACTGAAACAAAAAAACATTACTGATTATTTTAAAAATTAAACTTAGATATACAGTACGTTTGATCTTGTTTTATTTTACATATGGTCTTTTCAATATAGATATACAATGATATGCATATATTTAATCTTGTAACAGTGGCGTGCCATCCGTGGAAGCTGTGGAAACACTGCTTCCCTTGTATTTCTAAAATATAAATACATATTGTGTGATTATTTTCATATTTTAATGTGCTTTGAATTAATTACAATTAATATTTTATTAAAATCACATTATGTATTTTATTACAAATTTCTACACATGTAAAAAACAATGATAAGATTGCTATTGTGTATTTGAATATAAATTCGTATATGCATATTTCCAGTGGAAGCACTGTATTGTTGAATACGGGACAGCTTCCATGGCAAAAATATTTGAATCGTGTAAACCAGCCAGATTATATGCATTTGTGCACATTCTTTACAGAGCACCAACCTCTTGTGGTTTAGCTCATGGATGCTTCCAATGATTCTATCCAGGGCCAACACAGCTTTCCTATCATCAAATGTCACCACACGCCACTGTCTTGTATAAGTAATTTTTAGAAAACTTTCATTAATCTGAAAATTGTTAGATAAGTGAAGTTTTTAATGTTTTGTATTGATAGATATTCTGTTAAATGATTAAAATAATGTATAAATAACTAATTTCTTTATTGTAAACTCTATATTATTTCAGTGTGNATATGTTTATTGTATTTGTAAACATTTTAAAATATTTGTATAAAAGCTGTACAGAATCGGAAAATAAAATAATATATATGTATATAAATTATAAATGTAAGTGACTTTGTTTATATACAGCTTATAATTTCTTTTTCAATTTGAGAACCGATCTTAGATTTTCTTTGTTACGTTAAATTAATTATATTTATTTTATTTTCAAAATTTTTTCAATATAGTGAAGCAAGATAAACTCTATTGTTTAAATTGTAATAATTATTAATTAAAGATTTAACATTAGAATTTAAATAAAAATTTTACTGCTTATTGTTCAATATAAAAAATAAAATTGAAAAGCTATTATTGTGTCTATTAGAGCATATTGTTGGATGTATGTAGGTGTTATGTAAATGCAATAAAATGTAATCCTGTAAATTGTTTTACTTCATTTATGGTAATTATCTACTTATGTATTATAAATGTATAGATGAACATGCTTAATGCCATGTCCATGGTTTCTAGCAAAACAATATTATCATGTGGCATTAAACAAGTTTCACTTAATATTAGAATTGGTTATATAAACCAAACCTTTTTTTATAATTATATAATTACTATAATAGAAAATCTATATTTATGGCTTTATGCATTAAATAATTTTTTAAGATTTCTGCAGCCTTTTGTTGACTGTTGTGCACCTAAAATGTTCGTAAGGTATGTTGTTTGGCATGTTTTAGGTGCATTTTTTAAAATGTATTGAACTTTTCACTCCAACTGAGTGAAATATAATCAATCTTGCTCTTTATTTAATAATAGATATTTGCAGAATATTTTAACTTTCTAATGCCAGTGCTTGTAAAATTATTTGTCTCCTTCATCACTATTGCAGTTTGGTTTTGAATAATGGTATCAGATCTATTTGTTACTATAGTCAAAATATTCTCATTTTCATTTAATGATTCAACACATTTAGCATTTTTATTAGTATTCATGAATTTATCAGAATTAGTCAAGTTCATAGTCATTTAAAACAATTTCATGTTGCCTTTCCCATTAATGTAACCAACTATTAATTCCAAGGTCCTGAGCATACTTTTCTGCTGTTGCATTTAAAATCTCACAATTAATTAATTAGCTCCAAAAAACAACCAGCAATGTAATGTTATATCAATATCTGCTTTACTATGACATTGTCTTTTTATTTATCACTGCTTGAAATTGTTATTTCTTGCAGTTTGTTCATTAGATTGTAAATTTTACTTACAGTTGATAGATCATCAGAAAATGCTAGTATAATTTTGTTAACTTTTGGAACTTAACCCTATGTTTTGCACTAATAATTTGTTACATATAGTGTTGATTTGCATAATACTGAACTTTATCAGAACATAACTACCATGTTATACAAGGAATCCCTATATTTTTATGATATAAAGATATTAAGACTGGAAATTAAATGAAATATTATGCTTAAATTTATATTATCTGTATATATTATAAAATGACAATTGGACATTGACATGTTTGGTCGAAAGAATTCTGGCCTCCCAACAGCCCAGATTTGGATCCTTTGAACTTCTATATATGAAGAATAGTTGAAAGGGTCATGAACAAGTCCAGACATCCAAACATCACATCATTGAGAGCCACTACTGATGTGGCATTTGCCAATATGGACCATGATACATTAAAGCACGCCTGTGCATGTTTCAGACCAAGAATGGAGGCGGTCATTCAAGTAGGAGGGGGATATATTGAGTAAATGTATTCTTTATGGCCTTACAAACAACATGGTTAAAAGAAATTTGTAAACCTTTTCGCTTTTTGCATACAACATATGTTTGGAAAAAATGTGTAATTTGTCCAGATTTTGGCACCACACCCTGTACATCTTGATCAACTTCTATTTTACAAATATTATAATGTAATTTTTAGTCTGAGTATCAATATTTTTCCCAAAGTAGATCATATATCTATCAACCATATTATTGATTGAATCTTTCTCATTATTCCTTCTGTAGGATTCTACCTCTGTTCATCCTATTGTAAAATACCTATGCTTAGAACATAAATGTCTTAAACAACATTTTTTGTTACAGTTTTGATCTATTTATTATTAATTTCAATATAACAAGTATGAAGTGTGTAATGCACTGAAAATATTTTCTTGAGGTTTACATTCTCTAATGTAGCCTTAGAAATTTCAAATTTTAAAAAATTGCTCTTGAAATTGATATAACAATGTAGAATTTTATGTAGTATATCAGGAAGTACAGTATTGCATATTGTATTGTTTTTATTAAAAATAATACTTTTAGCTAGTTTGATGATATGGTTAGTGTCATAATTGATTTTAGTTTTTCTTACATTTTAAACCTATTCTTTATTATTTTGATTATCAAATGATCATTTTAAACCTATTCTTTAGATTTTTATTATTTAAATGAACAACACACTTCAGAATTCATTGCTTTAAGTTTTCAATAAATTTTGAAATTACAGTGTTTCTGTGCATGTAACCTGCAGAAAATTGCTAGAAATTTTGCTCTAGCAATTTTGCATAAGCTGCTTACTGCATTTATCTCCTGCTTATGGGAGTAGTCATTGTTTCATATGCGAAAGTTTGTGATCACATTCTAAAATTAACACACAACCTGATCCCTTCAAATTGACTTTTTAATAAAGATAACTTTTAGGCTGCATCCACAAAGTACAGTAAATAATGTTTTATTCTGCTTGAAATTTATAAAATTAATTTAATCATACCATGATGATTGTGTTCTTTACATATTTTTAGTGTTTCCATCATTTAAGATTAGAAGGAAAAAAATTTATTTATAAATGGAAATTTCTAATGAACTAATTTTCAATAAATTTTTTATTTACATTTCAAAAGTGGATAATTCATTCATTAATAAGTTCTTACTTTTAAATTAATTATAATTCATAATTGCATGACTATATTTTCTGTTCTTTTATAGAATGATGTAATCAATGTATAATTATTTTCTTTTAACAATGTGATGATATTTGTCAATAAATTTGTCTTTGTGTTCATTAAATATTGGTTATGCAGGGAATCAAACCATGCCTTATTTTTATTTTGTTGAGTGTTGGGTTTTTGTGGGTTGGATTCAGTCAGTGCTTCTGGAAAATTGCTTTATTTTCAACACAATGAAGATTTTGTTTATAAATATCTCAAAATAATTAAATATCTGAATTTAATTATCTATAAATTATTATTTATATTTTTAATTTAATAGTAACAGTTTATAAAAATATATATGTATATGTATTTTTTTCTAGTTGTGTGGCAAAATGGTTATTCATACAAGAAGTCAGATTGAAAAGCCAGTGTGAGCCAGATGAAGAATTACAGTTTGGTAAACTTGTTACTGACGTCATGTCACACGTTCGTTTTCCCATGATGTCACCACGTCAGTTAGCTAGTCTTCTCATTCATCCTCTTACGAGTCGTTTTAAGGATTTTTTTGTTGAGCAAATGGTTTTTGCCATGGCTTTCCACTCTAATAAGTGTAATGAAAAAATTCAACAGGCTTTACAGTCGCCTGGTGGTCAGTTACATTTTACCCCAAGATTATATACGACGGAATTGTGGAGCGCTTCTCTGAGCATAGAAAATTATCCTTCGTTACCCACATACGGGTTAAGAACACTGGTCTTTACTACTCCGGCCAGTTTTGCAGAGTGCATATCGGATCACTCTTATGAATGGACAGTGGACATATATCCAAAAGGAGTTTGGTTTAGAAAATTTTATCTCATCGTATGGCAGGGTACTTTAGAAATGCCAGAATCGGTATCAAAAACAGTCAGACTCTCACTAACTTCTAAAGAAAGCAATGATATGGCAAGGGTTTCTATTGGAATCTTAATCTGCGGAAAACAGGATGGTATGGAGCACATTAGGACAGTCGTGAAACAAAACTTTGTTTTTTCTGACGAGGAACGAATGCTCAATATAAACGACCTAATTCCGTATGACGAATTGAACGATCTTCGAGCAGGAAGATCTCCATATCTCGTCGGTTCCAACTCTGACATATTAAAACTTCACATTGTCATCACACCTCTGTTTTGTGGATGATGAGACAAGAGAAAATGAAATAAATTCACTGCCTAATTTATCTTATACATAAATTAAGTATTTGTATTTTTACTTCTTTCTAATCAATTTAAGAAATCTGTCTGAATTATCTTATTACAGGTCTGGATTTTATGTACACAATACAAAATGTTAAAATTGGAAATGATGTTTTGAACTATAATATATTGTATAATTAAAGGGAAGATTAAATTTGGTTTTTTTTATTAATTTGGAATTTTTTATTTAATAGTTAAACATTCTTAGATGACAAGAAATACAGTGCATTTGTAATAAAGTAATGAAATACCTTTATATTTTGAGTAATATTCCTTCATTTAAAACCCATAACAATAATTTTTTAATCTTTAGTTTGAAACATAATTTTATGCTTAGTTTCATGATTAATTTCCAAACTGATTGAGGTGCAATTCTTCTAAGAATGTGGAATATTCAAATAATAGAAATTTGATGACTGGTATTATGAAAGGTTGTTATCAGTCAGAAATAAATCTGTATTACTAGAAATTACAAATACCTTTATAGGCTATTAAAAAGCTTGCCTCTATTACTAATTTTACAAAATAATAGCTAAAACAATGCATTTTGGACAAATAGTTAAATTCTCTGAGAATGTAATAAGCCTGACTGTCAGTTCTAGTTAACTATTATTTTGTAAAACCTTTATAGACTAATTACATTTTAATTTAGTTGTTATTTATACATATTTTATGAAGTAATTTCAGTTTTTCATTATTCTGTAGTGTCTCAATTACCTGATATTTCATTTAATTGGTCTTATGCTTTATCCAATATAACCATTTGATCTGTTATATACAATGTTGTATTGTACAGTACATGCATATACAGTATATCATTTTACCCACCCGCACTGCTTATTTGTCTGTTAATGCATAACACAATGCCATAAACATGCAATGTGTGAAGCACTAGCAGAGAGAGATTTTGCTAGTTCTACTCTGCTAGTGATTTATGTCTGTATTGTACCTATTGGGATCATGTCCAATAAAACAATCATTTTTTATAAAATGTTGTTGCTTGAGCAATGTGGCAAGTGGAGAGAGAGAATTATTTTTTCAGTTAAAAATATTAATAAATCTTTATTTTATAGTTACACCAGAATTTTCATTAACTTGTGATTTGTTATTCTCTTCCACTATTTATCATCTACCAGTTGTATTTATACCAAACAATCAAGATTTTACTGTAATAATTCTAAATTATTTAATGTTGAAAATTATTTAGAGCAATATTTTGTAAATTTAATATAGTTTAGTTTGTCAGTTGCAGATGATCATTTCTGATGAAGATATTCCAATCAATGGCCAGATGGCTATGCAATATATTATATATATATTATAAAAAAAAAAGTGGGATCAGTGGCACGTTATAGCATGGGCAAAAAAGGGCAATGGCCTGGAGCTACAAATAAAAAATTTTATTTGAAAATTTTCCCCCCAAAGAAAAATGTTTGAAGATGACATGGTAGGTGAGGCCCCTAATTCAAATTTGCTTGGGAACCAGGAAGCTATAACATGCCGCAATGGGATCTAGTTTAATTCTAATTTAGCATTAAGAAGTTAATAAAAGCAAATTGGAATTTTTCTGTCCATAATGCTGTTCATTTCTTTGTCCTTGCTGGCTGACTTTATTCTACCAGTGCAATTTAATTAATCTAATAGGTTTCATAGCAAAAAAGAATGACTGGATTATTAATTAACTTCAAAAATTTATCACATTATTTTATAATATATGGAAACTTGCTGTATGTTTACTGTACATAATTATGGTTTCAGTGTTAATTGACATTGGTTCTAACGATCAATTTCAACTTGAGATGTTTTTAACAATTTTATTAATGAATTCATTTTGCTATTCTGTAATAGAAAGTTTTCAGTATATATTTCAGTTACGGATAAATAACAAAACAATGGGATATTTAAATAAATATTGATGTATAAATACATCATATAAAGATAAATAAGAAAAGGCAAGCTATTCAAAAGTATGGTGTAGGTATATGTTTATATATAGACATGAAGCTTGAAATTGTTTTTACGAAATTTTCAGACTGATAGTAAATATTTGTCTTTCAGATATGTAGCAAAATGGCTATTCGTTCAAGAAGAGCATCTGCGCGAAATCTATGAAGAAGAAGAAGCCACGCAGAAATTTGCTACTTTAGTCACTAGTGTTTTATCTCACATAAGGTTCCCCATGATGACGCCTAGACAGAGAGCAAGTCTATCGAATCATTCTCTCGCCTGCCGTTTCAGGGACTTCTTTTTGGGTGCCATGATGTTCGCTATGAACATCAACGAACGGCATACCGCTCCCAATTTAGATCTTTTCGTACCGCGATTGTACACGTGCCCGACTTGGTGCACGCAATTTGTGGTGGAAAATTACCCTATCTTAACGGCCTACAGTTACAGGACATTAACATTTAGCACACCTTCGAGCATCGCGGAATGGGACAATTGTCATCAGACGAAAATCAATTGGACGATGGATATATATCCGAAAGGCGTGTGGTTTCGTAAATTTTATCTCCTCCTGTGGAGAGGAAGATCGGAAATGCCCGAATACGTCATCAAATCGGTAAGAGTGTCGGTATCTCCCGACATTTCCGACGAAACCATTAGAGCCACGGTGGGTGTCCTGGTATGCGGGAAGGAAGACAGCACGGAGCACATCCAGAGAGTAATCTCCAAAGAGTTTCTGTTCACCAACGAAGATCGAGTGTTAAATCTAGAAGACGTCATTCCGTACGAAGAACTGAATTGTTTCCGATCATCTTACCTAGTGGGCGAAAAATCTGACACGTTGAGGATCATGGTGGTGGTTCTTCCCACGTTGTCCACTTGCCACGACACCGGACAGAAGTCAAATATTCCGTCCAAATATATCTGTGATACGGTGGTCTGACGACCATTGCGCTAGATTCTACTTTAATGTTTCGTTCGAGTCCGAGTCGGAAAATTTCAAATTACGCACGAAGCGGGTTAGCGGATAAATTCTGGACGACGAGTATTCTGGTAACACTGCCTGCTTAATTTGCATTTACAAACCTCGAACCTTCTGTAAATTTAAGATTGTAAAATTCTACGACTTGATATATGTTTATTGTATTTGTAAACATTTTAAAATATTTGTATAAAAGCTGTACAGAATCGGAAAATAAAATAATATATATGTATATAAATTATAAATGTAAGTGACTTTGTTTATATACAGCTTATAATTTCTTTTTCAATTTGAGAACCGATCTTAGATTTTCTTTGTTACGTTAAATTAATTATATTTATTATAAAACTGAAAATTCTGCGTACAGTTTCTTTGCTACTGATTCTTAATAATGTTTTAAATTATTTTGCAAATCTTTATTCAAAATAAATTATCAATTGTTTGAAGAAACGTGCAGTTGATTTTGCTTTTGATGTATCAAAATCCAAATACTCAAAGCATCGAAGTTTGTAAAACATACTGGAAATACTTAATCTCACTTTTCCTTGGCAGCATCTTGACGAGTATATGGTTTGAGGTGTTCTCGCTCATTCCATCTTCATATATAAACCGAGTGATGAAAAATTTCAATTCCGTATTAGTCGAATCGAGATACTACGCTCGTTACAAAGTTTATAAACAAATTAATAAAGTAATTACTAAAAATGCATTTATATTAACCCAAAATACGCGACGATTACAATTGAGGTACGGAAGAGAAAATTAGAATAGAAGAGATTCGTCTACATTCTGTGTGACAGATTGTCTAGAATTATGGATTAATGGGTAAAACGTCAGTCGCCGGTAATGTCAAAAACAAATAATAAACATAAACTTGTTTGTGACCGAAATGAAAACTCTGTGAATTAATATTGAAGTTAGTGTTGATAATGATTCTACATTTTTCCGTTTTCGAATATAAAAGATGAGCAAATTTTTCAAATGAAAATTCTTTTGGTAGATTTTTAAAATGTTTTTACGAAATTTGTATGAATTCGAAATTTCGTTTGTTTTAGAGTTCTTTATACTGCAGATTGGAAGTATTATACAAAGATGTGCTGCTTTTTTTAAAATTTGAATTATGCAAAATCTTCATAAACAACGACGTTTATTGCATCAAAATTGACATTTTTAATGGAAAATTCGTTTATACCCGATAACGAAAGTTTCTCTTTATTTAATTAAGATAAACAAATTCAAAAATAGAAAAATATATCTTGCGAATTTATTTTTCAAAAAGCATATAAACTCACTTAACGTTAAATCATTGCGTTAAACGTTAAATAAAATCTTAACGTTAAATAATGTTAAATATTTGGGCAAAGTGTTATTTTCTTTAGTAAATAATAATAATAATAGTTTTATTTGCCGAATTTATTTAAACAATTTGATTTATTTAGGTCACACGAAAATCCTCTAACACAACACGCGGACATCATACAACATTAACAAGACGCTTATACATTATTAACCCATGTAAAACAACAAAGCGCAAAGAATCACGGGAGCGGTGGAAACTTCTGACATTTCCGGGTTGCTATGCATCATGCATGGTTCCATATGTTAACATGATTTTAACGTGTAAACGAGATGATGCAAACATTTCAAAAACAAAAATAGTTATAAATTAAGAAATAAATGCTGGATAAATCCTGGGCATAAAGATAAGTTTAAGCAGTTTGATCTGAAGTGGCCCGATCCCTAGACTTCGAACTTCTCAGCGATACCATCAACGAGCTACAATATACTGCATAGAGTGGCTGTGACCAAGGTTAAAACATAAAACATAAGGTCAAGCAAGACACGTGATTCATCGCTATATAATTAAAGGCTTTAACTAAATAGGTTTCAAAATAAAAAGCTATGTATAAAAATATGAGGATAAATTTATTTTGTTTTGAAATGCAAAATTAGAGAAGAAATTTGGAGATATTTGTTAGGTTAAAATAAGAATATATTTAGTTTTCTATTGTCACATGCACTTTTACATTACACAAACTGCAAACAGGAGCTTCTATTAAACATTTCTATAAATTAAAATTAGATGAAATCTAATTTTAATTTATACAAACTTTACATTTTATGTAAGTAAACCTTCAAAAATATTTGCGAGATGATAATTTCCTTCATTTAGGAACTTAATGCATATAAACTAAATTTAATTATTTTTAGAGAGAATTAAATAAATAAAGGGTCTTTCAAATTGAGAGCCTTTTTTAAAAAATAAAAGGCATAATTTGCATTGCTTTTTAAAAACTTCATTGGTAATTGAAGTATCAGTTATGACTATCAGTTATATATCAGTTATATATGAAAAATAATATCTGACAAATGACCACCTCTTGCTGCTTCACAGTGGTTCACTCTTTTGTTAAAATTTTCTATGACATTTTGACATAATTGAGACTCTATTTCACCAATGACACGAATAATTTCATCCTTCAGTTCAGGAAACGATTGTGGTTTGTTCTTATAGACCTGGCTTTTTACATAACCCAAATAGTCCAATGGTGTTAGATCACATGATCTTAAGCCCTGGTCACACTATGCGATTTGTAGCAGCGCAGGCGACTGCAACTGCAACAAGCGCGAGTCGCGCGCGTCTTCTCGTGGTCACACATTGTTCGTTGACGTTGCAACTCGGAAACACGTGGCCCTATAATAAACCAATAAAATTACAGTAGCTTGTTTTTGACTACTTTCGTAAGTTTGCCGATATTTTACGTTCTACTTCAGAGTATTTACGGAATTTTAGCCACTTTTCTTATTAAAATAGCAAGCAGTTCCTTTTCTGGAATGAATAAAAGAAAAAAGGCGATTATTTTAATAGAGCTGGCGAAAATACATGAAAAGAGAAAATCTTCGATAAAACGAAGAATTAAAATCCCACAGGTATTCGTGAGCCCTAATAAGCTCGATCAATCTCGATTCTGTAAAAGTATTAATCCTCTGACTATCCGCCATGATGATGAACTATTTTCAATGTTGTCACTGTATGACGTGGCATAAAGGCGTTTGTTGATCGGATGCACGTTTGCAATCGTAGAACAAACTTTTTGTTTCTAGTTGTTGCGATTGCAGTCGCGCCGGTTTTCGAGGGGGGATTACTAGTTAACGATCACACTATGCCCTGGTCACACTATGCGATTTCCAGCCGCGCAGGCGACTGCGCGGCTGGAAATCGCGTAGTGTGACCAGGGCTTTAGTGGCCAATTAACATCACCATTTCTTGCAATAATTCATTTTTCCAGGAAATTTTTGTCTTAATAAAGCAATTGTTTCATTAGCAAAATGAGGTGTTGCACCGTCCAATTGAAACCATATATCCTCTAGATCAGCGGTTCCCAACCTTTTTTCGTTAACGTAACCCCCGAGGCATTTCCAACTTCCCAACCAGCAACGCATGCGCAAATCTCGCACTGTCTGTAGAGTTTCGTCACTTTGAATTTTATTTTGACTTCGTTCTCGGTCCCCTGAATACCTACAAGTCTGTTTTTTATGCGTGCATGATTTGGGCACCTCTGTGCCAAATTGCAACTTCTGACATGTACTCCTTCATACCTGTAAGCTGGTAACACGGCAGGCAGTACGATTTTATAAACAAGACAGTCTTGTCAATAAAAAATTAATAAAAATAATGAAGAAAAAAATTACCGCTTGTAAAGAAAATCTGGAGAAACTAGCTATGTCCTTTTCGTTGCTAACAATAAAAAATACTTTTTTCAAACACGTGGTGATATTGTTGAGAGATAATAATATCTGAATTAGCTAAAATTAGCTGAATTACTCGATCATTAATCGATCATTAATCGAATTAATCGATGTCGATCATTACTAATTCAGCTAAAATTAGCTGAATTAGTAATGATCGACATCGATAAAAAAAATTAGTAAAATTAGGGGTATAAGGTTAATAATGAGGTATGTTGATGACTATTTGATAGTATATAATAGAAATCTGATTAATAAAGAAACTATATATAATTTAATAAACAACATAGACAAGGTTATACAGTTTGATATTGAAGAAGAAGTTAATAAGAAAATTAATTATTTAGATATTACCATAGTGAATAATCCTAGAAAATTTGATTTTATAACTTATAAAAAATCTTGTAATGTAAGCAAAACTATTAATTACCATTCTTGTATTCCTGATTACATTAAAAAGAATGCATATATTGTCGAATTAAAAAACATATGTACTAGAATATCTGATAATTATAACATAAATATTAAACTAAAAGAATTAGATACCAAATTCCTTTTGAACGATTACCCAAACTTTATACTTAAAAAATGGAAAACATATTATTTAAAGAATAGATATAATACTAAGTTGAAAACTGATAAAATATATAAGAAGTTTCTATACATTAAAAATATCTTTGAAAAGTGCAGGAAAAGTATTAAGAATCATAATATTTGTTTGGCCCCATCTTTGACCAATAGTATTTCACAAAACATTAGTAAACATATTAATAATAATAGTAAAAATAATTTAGACCCTTTAAAAAAAGCTGGTGTGGTTTATAGAATTGAATGTGACTGTCATAATCCGTGTGTATATATAGGAGAAACCGGGCGTGTACTAGAAACTAGAGTTAAAGAACACGAAGCGGCCATTCGGCTTAAGTATAATAATTCTCCGTGGTTTAACCACATCAATAGTAATAATTGTAATATTAATAGAAACAATGTAAAAATTTTACATATTGAAAAAGATATTTATAAAAGAAAATTCAAAGAACATATAGAAATTAGAAAACAAAATAATAATAATTTAATAAATCAGTCGAAAGGGATGGAAATAAATTATAGCTGGTACAATCTAATAGATGGCGCTAGAATAAAATAAAAAATAAATAGTTATGTATTAAGACGTCATCACTTGATTACCGTTGTAAAGTGTTGGTGGTCTACTGTGTGACTTTGTAAAGTGTTGATGGTATGAAGTTAAAAATTTGTAGTGCTTT